CGAAAGAGAAACCGCAACACCTCTAAACTGTCGGCCAATATGATGGGAATGACATGGTAATCCTTTAGAAGAACGGGGCTCGACGAGCTTCAAATGCTATCTGTTCGGGGTAATTCTTGTGTTCGGCGTTATATAAAACGTGTTGTTATACTGCCACAGATGCAGAGAAAAAAAAAGAACTTGTACACATACATTTATACGTGTGTATGGGTAAGCACATAGAATCATCCCATTGAAGAATGCTGAGTGAAAGGGTTTTTGTATTCTATCGTTCGTATTCTCTTGGTATTCGTCGCACATTGAGGCCTGTTATAAAACGTGGACTTTCAATACACACATGTTCTCAATGTGTGGTGTATGATAACTTTGTGTATGAAGTACCACGTCAATGTGTGCCATCATTGAGCATCATAAAAGTATGTGTCAATAAATTCCTCCATGGAATACAGTATCCACTTAAAAGTACTCAGTGGACTCTTTCAGCAGACAGGATTACCAAAGATGAGTGTGTAATTGTGTACTTATTGTTTGAATAGAAGGTCCCTTTAGTGGAAGGGCAGCCGAAACATGGTAAACTGAAACATGTAAAGTGTCTACAGTTTACTGAAATTACAAAGCAATCCTGGGATAGATAGAAATCGCGGAATAAAGCACAGGTAATGAAGACAGACAAACGGTCACAATCCGAAAAAAACCACAATATGAATAAAACCTCAAATATTGAATACTTGTATTCCAGAGATGGTCCGTCGGAAACAGTGACGTAAATGACATATATTTCCGACGACTAATACATAAGAAACGTCGAAAACCCATGCAAAACCATTAGGTTTTCGACAAAAGAGTTATTTCCATTTGTAAACATAGACATCACATAAGAGTAAGCTTTAATGAATCCCATTACAAATTTCAAAGTTTTCTTCTCAAAAAAAGTTTAGTATTGTTTGTATGGACTAGTAATTGTCAGAACTATGTAAAAATATTATATATTCTGCAAACATTGTCAACGTTTGCAGAAAAAAATTTTTAATAAAGTTCCATGCATGAATGCCATGTACAGACGAGCGTTGTTCCCTCTCTCATTCGTTGTTCGACCCTTAATTATGAAGTAATTACTTAGTTCCCCATACAAAATTTGCTGAGCGAACACCGACTTTTGTAGATTGTTCAATTCGAATCACTCTCTGAATAACCAAAAAATTTGTCCCATCCCTAACAATCGAGAGTACTTATCGAAAACAAATTAATGTTGACAGTTTGAAAATATTTATGAAATTTTCAAACTTTTTCAGTAAAATTGAAAATGATGAATGAAAAGTAACAAATTGTCTAGTTTTTATAGTTGCAGTAGGATGTAAATTTTGTAATCTACATAATGCAATATGCATTTCTTTCCCTTTTGTTCTAATTAGCGTACAAAACGAAAAACAAATGTGGGGAAACCCAAACAAAATTTCTCAAATTTTTTTATATGTGACATTTGAATTGAGAAAATATAAAAATGTATTCAAAACAGCAATATTTTCAGAAAAAAATGGAAAACATGAATTAAAAGTAAATAGATGTGGGTTCATACTACAGTCAGGAGAAAGAGAATTCACGCAAATATGTTAGGATTTTGTTGTAAAACTAGAAACAAAAAGTTTTGAAAAATAAACTCCGATGACATGAGTTAAGAATAGTAATGTGAGAGCGAACTACGTTGTTCGAATGCCCGTCAGAACATGGCATTAATGCCATGTACAGACGAGCGTTGTTCGCTCTCTCATTCGTTGTTCGACCCTAAATTATGAAGTAATTACTTAGTTCCCCATACAAAATTGTCTGAGCGAACACCGACTTTTGTACGTTGTTCAATTCGAATCACTCTCTGAATCACCAAGAATTTTGTCCCATCTCTAACAATTGAGAGAATTTATCGAAAATAAATTAATTTTGACATCATGAAAAATTTTTTAAAATTTTCAAACTTTTTCAGTAAAATTGAAAATGATGAATGAAAAGTAACCACAATTCTAGTTTTTATATATGCAGAAGGATGTAAATTTTGTTGTCTACATAATGCAATGTGCATTTCTTTCCCCTTGGTTCTAATTAGCGTACAAAACGAGAAACAAAAGTGGGGAAACCCAAACAAAAATTCTCCCATTTTTTAAATGTGACATTTGAGTTGAGAAAATATAAAAATATATTGAAAACAACAACATTTTCAGAAAAAATGGAAAACATGAATTAAAAGTTAAGAGATAGGGGTTGATATTATAGTCAGGAGAAAGAGAATTATTTTTTCTATTTAGATCCATATGTGATTCACGCAAATATGTTACAATTTTGGTGTGAAACAAGAAAGAAAAAGTTTGAAATAAAAAAACTCTGATGACATGAATTAAGAATAGTGTTGTATGAACGGGTTAATTCATATACGTAATTCTGAGAGCGAACTACGTTGTTCGAATGCCCGTCAGAACATGGCATAAGAGGATAGTTTTACATGTGTGTCAATTGAAAATTGATTAAATCATTTTTTAATTAATCGAAACACGTTTATAGAAACAAAACAATGAGTGGAATTCTATTTCCAAAAAAGCAAACAATCTAAATTATGCACTGTCAATGTTCAATATGTTCAAAGCAAACCGTTTAATTGAAAAATACATTTTTGGAAATAATACTTTATTAAATTTTTCACACATTTGCGCCGCTTAATCGAAACCCCGAAACAAAAATAATATTATTTGCAATATATAATATATTTTGCAATTAACTTCATTTGGTCAATTTTATTTAAGCTGATTTGACTGTATGTACATTTTGAGGTAACGTCCGCATGAATTTACGTACGAGACTAAAAATGAACTGTTTTCAGGATTGCCATCGTTATGTATTGAGTATATCCAATTAATAAGGTATACCAGGAGGCGAATTTGCCTTAGTCTTTCCTTCCTTGCTGTAAACTTTTTTATTCGCGATGACAAAGTAACAAGAAACACCATTTGTTCCACACGACCAATATTCAGCACACTTTTGCAGAACATCATTCATTGGCCACATGTTGCGAATGATTCAAATCACAATTGTTAAATAAAGAAACAAGAAAAAAGGTATCCATATAAATACAGAAGATAAGTCATAAAACTTGAGTGAAGTTGGCGACAGTTTGCAATGCCATTGAAAGGTGGATGCAAAATATGATTTGCGTAGCCCTGATGCAATATTAAGTACTTATTTATCCCATTAAAACATATAAACAATACGTCCAGATGTATTTTCTGTCCGTTCCAATGTAGTGTTTTTTTTTTTTGTACCCATTTCCAAAAAAGTTTCTAAAACTATGCGCCCATCTGTGGTAAGATATTTGGTACCTTCTGGAACAAACCTCTAATAACACTGTGCTACAAAATAACAAAAATTTTTTTTTCAGGGGTTCTAATGTACCAATTCTGTTTAGTTGAAGTCCCTGGACCACGAAAATACCTTTGGTTTTCCTTGGTCACTTCGAAAATTAATGTTATAACGGTAAATATGAAGAAAAACGTGGTTTCATGGATTTTCTTTCGAAGAGTAGAATTTTTCCTTTCAACCAAGATATATATTTGGTACATCGGTTAAGGATTGGCTGAGTTACAGTGGTTGAAATGTAAAAAATACGCATAAAAAGACAAAATTTATTTTTCTTCGGCCTGTACGATGAAATTATGATATAAAGCCGTATAAGTTTTATTATATTACGGGAAAGAAAATTAAATAAGCATTAAGAAAATGATAAAAATCAAAAAAATCGGTTAAAAAATGGAGGATTTATACACATTTTTGTAGTGATTCTATGCATATTCTCTAAAGGAAATATGGATTTATCCCGTTTCCATTTTACTGTTACAAACATAATATGGAAATGAGGAAACGAGATAGACACATATTTCCTTTAGAGAATATGCATAGAATCACTACAAAACCGATTTTTTTATTTTTATCATTTTCGAATGCTTATTTAATTTTCTTTCCCGTAATATAATAAAACTTATACGGCTTCATATCATAATTTCATCGTAGAGGAAACTCAGGATTGGCTGAGCCGATTTACCAAATATATATATATATTGTTTGAAAGGAAAAATTCTACTCTTCGAAAGAAAAAAATAATATAAATCCGTTAGAAATAAAAGAAGTTATTCGAGTTTCAAATTGAAAATCCATGAAACCACGTTTTTCTCTATATTTACCGTTATAAAATTAATTTTCGAACTGACCCAGGAAAATCAAAGGTATTTTCGTGGTCCAGGGACTCCACCAGAATTGGTGCATTAGAACCCCTGAAAATGTTCGTGTCGCACAGTGTAATCAACTGTATATATCCGGATCGTCTTGTGTGCTAGTGCTTCCACCACACTCCTTAACACGTGCGTCTGTGTGTCGATTCATTTTTGCCACTCGAAATTAATCCTCCAAATCCCTGTTTGTATTTTTTAGGAGTGAGTGCTCCGCTGGTATGTGTGTGTATGTTCATCATAGATGTGTTCAGTTCAGTTTCATTTCCGTAGCTTTCAGTTTTGTTTTGTTCAGAACACCACCGTCAACATAAATTGTATTTTCAATTGTATTTTATGAAGGGAAATAACTTTTCACGCTATTTCGTTGTTATTGTCATAAAGGAAATCAATCATGTCGGTAATGAAATTCTAAATCCATTTGAAGAAAAAAACATTCAAACATTTCGATTGTCATCGACGGACAACCCTGCCGACAGTGACTGGCGTCTAAGATTACTCTAATGTTGTCATCAAACATGGACCAATAAAATAACGCATGTACAAATGCAACATTTGCCAAATTACATTCACGCCATCGAACATCCACTACACAGAACTGTGCCCCGTCAACACTCAACTATGCTTAACAAAAATTTATTCTTGACCCTTGGTCAAATGTCAATACACATGTACCGGAGATGGACTTTTATTAACTGGTTTTCTATTTTTTTCTTGCTTGTGTTCATTTCACAGGATACTTTCCGCTGGGCTCGGAACATTGCCTGACTTGGATTTGTTTGGATGTGCTATTTTGTACGGCCAGTATAATGCATTTGTGTACAATTTCTGTGGATCGATATCTGTCCCTACGTTATCCGATGCGCTTCGGCCGAAACAAGACACGTAGACGGGTCACTTTGAAGATAGTGTTTGTGTGGCTCCTATCAATTGCCATGAGTCTGCCACTGAGTTTGATGTATTCGAAGGTGAGTCCTTTGTGGAGGCGGTGCTGTCCTCAACTGTGAGGCTATAGCGGTTAATCAAGCATATCAGCACTATTATTTACATTGGTAGCACTGCTCAAAAAAAAAAAACCTCATAATAAGTATACAATTTTTGAAAACGCTCCACCTCGTGACATATGGGATTAAGAACAAACGTCCTCCAATATTTTTCTAAAAACGTTAACGATTGATTTGTGTTTATTTTTTCGTGACCCATCTAATGTGCTACAACCACTGTGCTTGATAAGGAAATATCAATATACAATGTTTGGCGTTTGTATAGATGTAAAAGCCACTTTTTAATCTGAGTCCTTTCTTTGGTGTCTAGAATCACGCTTCAGTTCTGGTTAATGGTACATGCCAGATACCGGATCCTGTGTACAAATTAGTTGGATCGATTGTCTGCTTCTACATACCGCTGGGCGTCATGCTGTTGACGTATTGCCTCACGGTGAGGTTGCTGGCACAGCAACGTCAGAATCTCGGTGGTCACAACCAAACAGCCGCACCCGGCTGGGCAAGTGGATGGCTAGGTCAAACACCAGCTCTAGGTAAGTTAAATCGCATACACTCAATGCCACTCATCCAATCCATTCACGTTTGTGGGACGAATAAATGTCAACTTCAGATGGGATGTGTCCTTTGTAAGAAGACAATATTGTGTGCACTAAATTCACGCTAATCGGCACACATCTCACAATGTTTGCACAGTGATGACCTGACTTGGTACGTATATGTATACATGTGTGTATGTGCCTACTATTGAAAAATGTAACTACAAACTGTTAAAAATGTATAGGAGGTAACCGGTTACATCCGTTGTATATTTTAAAGGAACGATTGTTGGAAACACAAATTCCTTGTTTATACAAAACATGGATACGAGTAAATATAAACTTGTGGAAAAGCATTTGTGGGAAACATGCAACAAATGCTGCCTTCAATGGCAATATTTTACGTACGCAACCGCTACATATGGAGTAGAACACGGTTTTAACGCACCCAAAGGAACCTGACAATTTAGTTCGTTATAGACGTAGCAGGCAATTTTGTCAAATCCATATACATATGAATGTAGTGGGAGTAAATATTTGTTTAAGTGCATAGCGTTTTAAACCTTTAAATGATACCATGTTCACATGGTTGTAGAGCACTTGTTGTATTTGGTGCAAAGAAGAAAATCTGAACAAATTCACGACGCGTTAGCATTTGTATACGTTATATTACGTTTTTCCTAGTTCGTTATAAGCGTTGAATTACAAGTCGAAATTCAATCTGTGGGTCATAAAAACTGGTTCGCTTTAAAATAGTTAGTTATAAGCGTAGTGATTTGTATGAAACATAGGTGCAAAGCTATTGGGACCGGAGACAGTGACAACAACTTTTAAGACTTGAGAAAACTCGTTTTGAAAAAGTCCCAAAACAGGGTCAATATCTCGCTCAAAAAATACATTAATAATATCATAGGAACGGGTTATCTGTTTAGATCCCAGTGTTACCCAATCTAATATTGCTACGAATTATGTGGGAATTATTTGTACCTCGCCCACAAAACTTGACATTTGTTAATCTGTTATAATGTGAGAAGCTATACAAAATACGATGCGAGTAATTTGCCAAAAAATGTCGTCAAATATTTTACTGTACAAGTGCTGAATTCAAAAGGGAATAACTGAATACCTATTGTCATTAACATAAAAGTTTAATCGAAATCTTAGTAAAAAAAGTATCCTTAAGCGATATGATGAAAATAATTTTCACATTTTATTTTTTGATTTGACTTATGATTTTTGACTTTTGCGCCGCTAAATCGATGGTTTCGGTTACTGTTGGCCGTAAAAAACAATTGTGTTGGAGAAACAGGAAATGGAAGTAGGCAAAATATGTACTTGAATATATCTTCAAATCCGCCTTTCCATTCCAGCAAAAAATGCGTTCAATAAACTACTCATTCCTTATAAAACAAATCACTAGCTTTATTTAGGTTTGCTTCAATGCGTTCTTTAAGTAGCCGAAAGTAAGTAGGTAATAAACTATGCTTATTTATTTTGGAACAGAACGTCGTTGTACCTGGCGTCGCCTATTGAAAACAGGACATAATACAAATGCAACGACAACTTCTTTGCATGGACACTCTGCAAATTCCACCGATACCGAATTGTCAACACTGGATAATCACGAGCTGTGGCTGCCAGAATCAAGGTAAGTTTCAAACCAGCATACCACATTCTTGTATAGATCCCACATTGTTCACATACCTTGAACTCAGAGGAGCTGGCGTTCATTGTGTGTGCAAGTATATGTGTGTTTCAATGCCTTCCACTTTTCTGTTTTACACAGTATACCCGAGCCGACACCAACAACTATGACGGCATTACATCAATTTGGAGCCGAGATGTTGAAACTATCCCGCGGCTTGGAGTCGGTTGTGTCATCATCGACAGGATCGCCCACTAAATCTGAATTGTCGTCCGCAAATATATTGCCCTTTATGCACAGTCCTCTGCAGAAACAAAATTCGTTGCAGTCCGCCACCAGTCAACAGAACTCTCTATACCCGTCGCACTCACAAACTCAGCATCAAGATGTGCGGTTGCCCCCCACCTCAAGTCTGCAAGCCACAAAACCCTTCTACCATCCGAGTCACCCATACATCCTTCAGTCACATCTCCCACAGTCGACGGATCTTAGTGCCTATAATAAAATTAACACATTTTCTCTGCTGAACACTCCTGCCTTTGATTTTATGAAGGACACAAAAGCTCGGAAGCGGTAAGTGTAGAAACTCCCGTTCAGTTTTCTTACAGTCTATTCCATGGTATAGTAAGGGAGGTAGTGTCGTGCACCCAGAAGTTGTATGGACCCACGTCTAATGATAAGGGAAATGAGCATTGATAAGTTTCAACATAAAAAATATGCTTCGTTAGTACTCGTCAACCTCTTAGTCGGTGGTCGGCGTGAAGGTCCCTTCCCGACATTTATTCAAAGACATAGAAACCGCAGACTCGACAAAATGAATTTTGACGAAATAGTTTATGAAAACATATCAGAGATCTGCACTCAAAATATATGCTTTCATTTTATAAGCTTGCGATATTGCGCTTAAACGTTTCACATTATTAGCTCTGTTGTGATGAATTAAAACATAAAGATACGACAACCCTAGTGTGTATACCCTGCAATACCCATCTAACTCATCCTCGTGTAGAAATGTAAATGAACATGAACGTGTCTAAAGTAGCAATGTTTGTAAATTTCCATTGCATCTGCAAATAGAATAAATTCATAATGGCGTTTTTTAAATGTTTGTTATTATATACTGGGCTGTGCCGTTCCATGCGTATTTCCGTATAACATGCAGGAGACATGAATGTGAATAATTTTCCACAGCTGTGGAACTGTGGAAAAACAAAGATTACATTCATATGCGTCACAAAACTTCGAGAACAGTGGGGGTAGTCACATGCCACCGAGAAACACTCTTGTCCTTAAGGTCTTAGTGTCCGATATTAAAATCCGTTTAGGCAAAGACAAAACACAAACAATTCGTTCATATTCTTGCGAACGTATACAAGGAATATTGTTATTTCATCTTCTACTAAAAATATTTGCACATATATTTTTAGAATAGCTACCAAGTGAGGTCAAGGTGGAATGGAAGGACACAGCTTTAAATAATGAAACTTTTTGAAAGAAATTAAGTATTCCTAATTTTATGTATTACTAGCCCCTCACTTTATTGAGAATAAAATTATCGACGATTTCGAAGGAGTGTCTTCCCAATCGCTCCTTAATGGAAATTTTGTGTCATAAATACCCGGTCATATATGACGCACATACGAACAGATTTCAGAATTTTGAAGCTTTCGTGAATCCAATGTGTACTTGGGGGTACATGTGTGGACAAAATCAGTGACTGAGCTTAACGTCCTTGAAGAAACCTACGATTGTCACTTACACCTTGCCTTCTACAGAAACAAAAATGGTACAATGATACAATTAATTTCTTCTTACAAACAAAGTATTTTAAAACGAAAGACAATGACTTCTGACTTACGAATCAAGACTAGAATTTAGCTCAATTATAATCCATTTTTAGCTGTAATGTAAAAGTCGATAAACATATTTTTGTTTTTTTTTTCATTTTCTGCAATAATATACAACTTCTTCACAATTGTAATAGCATTTCCGAATGTTATATATTTTAAAAAATTCACATTTCTTACGTGGAATCAAGGTGTATTAAATAAGGTGTATGCATCAGATACAACAACAAATATTTTACAAAAACAACATTGTTGTTATAGAAATTAAATTGTCATGCTGACAATAAATTTTTGACAAAAATAAACAAAAACAATTATTAATTTTTTTTGTCAAGAACTATTCTTCGTGGTCAGTGTTTGAGACCTGGTCGCGATTTATTTTAAGTTTCCCACATGCAGCCCATGGCTCCTTGTGATGTTGTGATGAATTACAATCTATTTTTCTATGGAGTAGTGTCTTTCAATTTTCTTGCCTTCTTAAAGAATATTGAAAGACATAAATCCCCGGCCAAAGGCTAAATCATGGAAATTGTGTTGATCGTATAAAATCTTTCCAAAGGCGTATTTAACCTTCGCCGAGAATTGTCACAAGATCCAAGGGGCCGATTCCAACATAGGCTAACATAATATCCTCGATTTTATGAGTATCAGGAATTTATGGACAGATTTCCACACATAACATAAAAATATGTGGACCATTCGGTGAGCGGGGTTATAACTGATTTCGTGAGGCGGGCGGAAAGGAACGTCCGCCTCATGAATGCAGTTTTCTCAATTTTTATATTAAAAAATTAAAGACCATTTTTGAAATCGAAATGTAATATTGAAAATGTTTTTCACAATTTGCTTTACAAACAATAAAGAAAAAAGTTTAAAACCATATGACTGTCACTTACACCTGAATATTGAACAAATCCAGTTTTGTTTATATAGTTGTGTGACATATGGGATTGTTGTTGCGGTTATTCGAGAATTAATTGATTTCTTCTAACTGTTCTAGGTCGCCGTCAGATGCCCGAGAGAGACGCAGTAGATTGTGTGTATATGCCAAGAAACGTAGAGCCTCTATGGCGGCCTGTATGCAGCCACCAAATACACCGACAACCCCATCAGAATGGCAAAGAAATCGTTTTTATAGCTTACCTCAGAACATTCTCTTTCGACGACAATCAACAATGTCCCTGTGTCGTAACTCTTCCGAGGAAAACATTGCCTGCAAAGGTTCAGGGAATTCTCCTAACAAAGCCTGCCACTCTGACACGGAAATGGATGACGGAGATGAACACCAAAATTGCTCAGAAAGTGGGACCGATGGCGAGTACCTCCAATTTCCACCCATATGCACGTGTCCCTATTTCGGAAATAGACCGCTGCCTAATTGCATAAAACCGGCAGATGTGAAAATTATTTCAACGACTTTCAAATTAACCACTAGCACACCATGTGATGTTGCCCCAACAATTGTGGGAGAGAACAAACTAAATATGATCAAGGCCCACACGTCATCCAGCCTGAGTCCACACACTGTGTCCATTTTGAACAGCAACCATTCGTCAAGTACCCTGACATTTGAGTCTAGCAGCGATGGCTGTTATCTCGCAGCGCCGCAGACACCAAAGAGGAAACTCAGCATTTCAAAAACTGCCTCCATTGTGACTTGGGATTCCGGCAGACACAGGCGACGCGGATCAAGTTTCGGTGGGGCGCGCACCTCTCTACTGCTTACGCCTACCAAGACTGGCGGTTTAACTACGTCAACTTCGGCGACGCCTCTAAGAAGATCGGCCACACTAAGGAGCCACAATAATATGAACTATGCCGGAGGCGATGTCACAAGCGCGACTGGCATGAAAATAAAATCAAAATCACCACATTCATCGCCGTGTTTGTTACAACGCAATCAAACTGTCCGTTCCCACCATTCGCGCAACTCCAGTGTAATCTCAAGAAACTCTTCGCGCCACGGACGTATAATTAGGCTGGAACAAAAGGCAACCAAAGTGCTGGGTGTCGTGTTCTTCACGTTCGTCATTCTTTGGTCGCCATTCTTTGTGCTCAACCTGCTGCCCACAGTGTGCGGTGATTGTGAGGAGCGAATAGACCACTGGGTGTTCGATGTCGTAACCTGGTTAGGTTATGCCAGTTCCATGGTCAACCCAATTTTCTACACAATCTTCAATAAAGTATTCAGACAGGCTTTTAAGAAAGTTCTTTTGTGTAGATACTCGGGCACTTCGTCCAGTTGGCGACCTCACAGGTAGCACACCCCACGTACGTTGCCCATACATATGCCATTGGGAAATAAGGGTATGGTAATGACACTAGGTCCAATTGAACGCAGTTGCCGCAAGACAAAGACACACAAGCGTTCAACAAGATCATTTAAATGGCACACATTTTCCAAAAGTTTTAACAGTCGTGGCAGATGAAAGGGATGGTAAGTACACCAACTATCGGAAGCGGTAAACGGAACGGTTGCCGCGCGTACGATACGCTCTTAGTGACACGTTTGTATGCAAAACTAAATCACAAGTTGATCAGATTTCCTTAATATCACATCCGACCAAATGCCAGCTCAACAGCAAAAGGTTTCATGGTACCTTGTATTATGGTAACTGCAAAACCCAACTGATTTACGATTTGAGAACTATTTTTTTTTTTTTTTTGAGTACGACTTGAATTCGAAATTGTGCAGCTGACGCGATTTCCACACACTGAAACGTCCAAACTCAAAAAATCCCAAGCGATTAGAAATAGTACATATCTGGCCCTGGCATGCACTAGGTTTATTAACACTGACCATTTTAATAGAAACGGTTTGTTTGGCAACGTCAAGGTATGGTAACATCTTAAACTTGGAATCGATTGTGTAATCGCGTTTGCCAGTTTCGAATGTATTAACCCTGCTACTATGTTAGAAAAAACACATATGTTACGTTGGGGTCATATTTTGACCCCCACTTTTTTATTGATGAAATTTAAATCTGTTAATTTTAAAGAAGTTTTTTTAAGGCTTGTGATTTTTGCAATATGTCTTTGTTGCAGTAATTTTTTGTCGGTGAGACGGACATACTGGTTTTTTGCAAGTTATGCACTCAGTGAACGTTTTTCGTTCCTTCCTCGATGGACAAAATTTACACCTTTTCCGGTTACTAAAGCGTTGTCGTTCTAGAGAAGGCGAACTCGTAGATGGTGATTCTTCTCGAATTCTTTGTACTATAGTTGCAGGGGCTTCTGCGCGGGGAAGTCGACAACGTCTTTTGATGTGCTCTAAAAATAGGCGCCTTTTGTCCAATTTATTTCTTTGCGTTGAGAGCAGAAATATCTACTAAATTAGAGAACAGAGCAACAGGCCACCGATTGGTTTTTCTTTTGCATGAGTATGTAAGAACCATTTGGTCCAAAGTGTCGACTCCTCCTTTTGTCGAGTTGTAATATTCAATTATTTCCGGTATTTTTTTGGATGATTTTCCAAAATTTTGCTGTTATGGTGAAGAGTGCTAAGCAAATAAACCATTTTGTATTTTTTAGGTATATACAAAAAAATTACTTGAATGTACTGGAAGCTTACGCAATTGTTGTGTTGTAGCATGATCCGGTAAAAAGCGTTTATTTTTTCTGACTGTGCCAACAATAGTAATTTTATGCTTTAGCAGTTCTATTGCAAGTTTCTGACTTGTAAAAAAATTGTCGGTTGTCACATTGCGTCCACGATATTGAGTAACCAAGTCTAGAACAACGCGTTCTCGTTGATTCCTTTCAGCATTGTCTCCCAATTTGCACAAGTAAATTTGGAACTGTAAGCAAAACGCAGTATCAGAATCGGCTGCTATCCAGGCTTTCATGCCATATTTCCCAGGCTTACTTGATATATATACTTCGAATGGGCATCTACCTCTGAAAGGAATAAGCTGTTCATCAACCGTTATATTAGCGTTTGGAACGTAAAGCAGTTGCAAGTTTTGAGTCCATTGTTCATAAAAGTTTCGAATAGGGGCAAGTTTATCTCCTCTTTGTGCTGATCTTCTTCTTTGTCTATCGTCAAATGCAAGAACGCGTGAAATATTGCTAAATCGTTCCAAAGACATGATTGCTCTCAAAAAAGGGCGCCCATGAAATTCATCCCACAGAGAGTTCAAACTTTCTCCGTATGACCTGTAGGCTCCTAAAAGAATAATATATCCATTATACAATTATAATAGACAACACAAATTGAACACAAATACCAATGAGTATAAGAAGTCCCAAGTAAGCATCGAACTCAAAATCATATATATCTTCAAAATGTTCGAAAATAGAATTTCCTTCCAAGTTACTATAGTGAATTATTTCCCTTTTCATAGCTTCGGTTAGACATAAATCAAAGCCATCACGAATTTTAGAAATTCGATGAATAGCGTAAGCAGTCACTCCAGGTTTTGTGTGAAGAATATTTCCACTGGGTGCACGACTTAGACGTTGTGATGGAGGAACTGTCAGTGCCATTATTTACGGCTGATGAACTGCTGGATCCTATATCACTCGAAATTGATTGCTCTGAAGATAAACATTCTTCTTCCTCAATTACAAAGTTAGGATCGAAGTCATCACTTGCTTCATCTTCAATGCCACTCAAGAGTTCTTCCATTTCATGCTCGCTCATTTGTTCTCTCTGGCATTATATTCACGAAATAAAAATTGTCGTACATAAACTATGAATTTGGAAAATGTAGTAGCAGGGTTAAATAAAATCGAGAAATGATTGCCTACCCTTAAAATCACGACACATTCATATATTTGCGAAACTGGTTAACATTTGTGTTGAATTCAAACGAGAAAAATGAAAAAAATTGGCAAAAAGGAACTGTGAACTGTTGTGAATGAGGGAATCGATTGATAACTTACTACATATTTTTTTATATCTTTATGTGTGTACGTTTGGGTATTCGGAGATATAATTCCTAATTTCGAAAAACACACACACACACGCATTTCTTCACTACGAATATGTATGGAATAACTTTAACTCACCCTTACAGCTTTCCGACTAAAGAAAGAAATCAAAAAGTGTGTAATAGGAAAAGTTTCTTTTCGTTTCTTGGGTAAGCAAAAGTTCGAAAAGAATTTATGGCCTCATAAAGGCGTAAAAAGGAAATCGATCGTTTTATTGAGAACCAAGTTAAATATAAAGCAATTTTAATATATATATATATATATATATGAAATTACAGTTTTTAAATTGGTTAATATTTTATTAAACTAATAATAATTTAAATACTTTTATGTTATTATTAAAAAATAAAATTATCATTGAAAAAATATGAAATAATACAGTACAATTTTCACTAAAAAAGATAAAGTTTTGTGTGGCCTCTTTAGTGAAAGCGCCGTGCAAAACTAATTCTACGTAGTTTCGTGTCATGTTACAATTTCTCTATCCATAAAAATATGGCATCTACAATGTACACAATCCATATTATAGAACGCGCAATGAGTTGTGAGGATTCATTCAAAACTCTTCCAAATTTTGGTTTCTTGCCATAAAAAAATGTTCATCGAAAATTATCTCTAACAAAATTATGTGGTTTGAATTATTTTAACAATTTTATATATCTTTTGCATTTGTAATTTCAGTAATCCCGTGTCGGCTGTTCAACCGATTTTTGTGCGAGCGCCCAGTGCTCTATCTATGAAACAGGGACAAAATGAGCGATAGACAATGACAACTCTGAGGACTCTGAGGAATCCTTGTAAATACCTACTAATATTAGTGTACCTTTTTGGAGAATATACATAAATATATACCAAATACATCTGCTGTGTACATACATAAATATACGATTTTATAGATTAAGTAATTTTATACTTCCTACGACTCATAATGTTAGAACGTACAATCAGAACCTGCCCCTTATTTCTTACCTGGAAAAATGAAGAGTGTGAAAATGAAAATTACAATCGAAAAAATATGCATATTTTCCGTAAGAAGTTCGCTAGTAATTTCCAGCTCAACCCTCCTTTTTCACACACAGACACACACCATGGCAGACACATTAAAAGTGTGTCCAATTAGTTATCAAGAAATCATTGATTGTGACTCGGTTTTGGGTAGTTGCCCGAATCTAATCAATAATGTCATCAAAGTTTTTGATTCCACCAGGGAGTAAATGGAATACTTCAATAGGATAAGGAATTGAAAATCCATAACGTTGTTGTACCTTGAGTTTCAGTGGATGTCATATGTTCTCTACGGTCGAGTGCCAGGCATCTACACATATACATACATATCTGTCCGTAGTTCCTGTTGTTCCTAGCGTTACACCATTCGCCACACGCCATCATTTATTATTTCAAAATATTTTTATTTTGTTTTCCCCTTGTACAGTCTGGTTTCGATATGGGGGGTTGGGGCTGTGTTTGCGTTTGTGTTTTTTTTTTAAAGCACTTTGATTATAAAACAGAAAAATGTGTATTTATATATGATTGTTATTGTATTTATGTATGTAGCGAAACTCTTTTTGTTTTTTGATATTTTGTTGTAGACGTTTGTTTTCCAAAAACAAAAGAACTCATTGAACAATACAATAAATGTTTATATAGAAGTGAATGGAAAAAGTAGAATAAAAAGTAATAGACGAAAAAGAGAAAAATAAATATAATTGTCGCTGGTCGTTTTATTCCCGGGTCTCATCCAGATAATTGTCAGGTAAGTACGCGTCAAGTAATGAAGTTGAGATGGGAATTTAATGACACCAATTTGTTTGTTTTGGTCATGACATACTCTCTAGAGGGTTCGGGATTGATTCAAATTGGGTTAGTTTCCATTGTGACTAGAGGAAAGTGGCGTTTGGCGATATACATATGTATGTCTAATATGTTGTGTGAACATGTAGTTTGATAAAACGAACAATAATAGAACAACAACTCAATTTCGAATTCGTATGTAGTTACAACTGTTTGCATTTTAGGTGACGTAATACAGCCATTATTAAAAATGTATACAATTCTTATACATTTTTGGCAACATGTTTGAGCAGAAAATGCTGACATATAATAGTTACTTTTGCATTGTGGCAATTTCCATCAAAAGGAAAGGAAAAGGAACTGGCTCTTTTGCCCGTTCAATCTCAGCTCTACTATTTTTGACATTGTTATCAATAAAAGCATCGAAAATGCATTCAGCTGTGGTTTTTCTATTTTCTTTGTGGCACAGTGTTATTGGTGCATAATGCGGTGTGATCTACAATACCTATATTCGTTTTACTTTCTTTTATGGAAAACGTCAATATTATACTAATACATACATATATAGTTAATCGGGATGAAAAACTATATTATTGTCGTTTTATTATCGAGACACAAGGACGTACGACCCCATACGAAGCAAACTAGGAGGTTTTAAAATTCAATTTGCCACATCACCATGAGCGAAATAAATTTGCTGAGTTGATATTTCTGGCAAGTTTTTACAGACAAAGGCAAATCCGAAGTGATGCGGCACTTTTTATGGGAACACAAAATGCCGGACGTGAAAATATTAATTTGCCAAACTTTTTGTATGTCTCTTTTTTGTTCGTCCATTAAGCCAATCACTGCTCCTGCAATGGAAAATGCTACATCATTTCTGTATTGTTTTTGTTAATGCTCGGTCATAATGACTTCCTTTCAATTGTATTTCATGAAAAGTGTGTTGTTGTTGTTATCGTTGATTAAGCAACTCCAGATCTGAACGAAGCCATATCTAATTGACAGGAATATTATAACTCTTTTATTTGTTATCTGGCTGCCGCATTGAAGCACATCGTACTTTCACACTTAACAAAGCGTATGCTTTCTTTACGAAGTTATGTGGGTCAAATGAATTTCGAAAAAGCATGCCATATAATGCCGGCAATGTTGAACAACTCTGCAGTAGTGAAGGACTTTCGCGCACACATTCCAATGGATGTGCCTTTGTATGTTCGAGGAAGGAATTGCCTGCCAAACTAGTTTGCTAATGTCGCGGTCACATCTCAACGGTGTAGTTTTATTCACTGGCATAGCATTGTTGATTAGTTCAACAACTTTGCCCACAAATGTGAGAATGCTGGCGAATATTGCCAATTAAAATGGCTACAGCGCGGAATGCCATGGACGAATGGCCTATCTACAACAACCAACGACAAACACTGTAAACTGTTGGCTGGCGTAAATCAAATTCCTAAGTATTTCAAGCGAAACATAACACTTTATTGATTGTTTCCAATTAAAACTTCCCTCCACGTCGGTGGTTTAATCATCCAAGCATGTAAAGCATTACTGCTGGTCATAGCACTGTTATTTCATTAAATTCTTAGCATTCTGATCATGATTAATAAATAAGGCGAAACACATTTTTTTTAGTTTTAAGTGGCATCAGCTCAAATTTTGCTCAGTCTGGATATGGGCATTTCCGGGAAAAGATCAACCAAAGCCGTAAAAAGACGTCTATCATTATTTTGTCTTATTCTTTGTATAAATATTAAAAAAAAAATCCTAATGAAAAGGTCGCGCAACATCAATGATGTCTAATGTCACGTATATTTTAAGTCGCGCGAGTGACCGCTCTTGTGATTTTTATGCCAAAAGATAAAAACCGGTGGCTTTCAATTTATTTACCACTATTAAAAAATACTACAAAATAGTATTAAGAGCGAATTTAAAAATATAATTGTGTTTGATTTACTTAACATTTAAATTTTTATTTTGCTTCCGGAAGTCGACTTTCGCCCGTATGGTATTGTGCGTATGAGTGATAAAACGCCATAATAATTATAAATCATTCGCCGCCAATACTTTTTTTAATGATTTTGGAATAAATGTGTACAGGTGTTCACATACGAATATGCCTCAAAAATCGGGAAATGCAGACAACGCCCGGTATAACGAGTGATCGATTGCCAACGAGTGATCGATTTCGCCTGTTTGAAATGACAACACGAAGTTCGTCGAGTCTGCTAGTTATCCGTCTACCCTTTGACCTCACAGTATCTAGCAAACTTGTTCACATATATGGACACTTCCGCAAAAAGGTAAACCAAAGTCGAAGAATTTGTTTCTTTAATTGTGCTTAAATACGCAAAATAAAGCCAAAAAATACAAGGAAAGGTCACTTTTATTATTTTTTCCTCTAATTTAATGGCTATAAATGCAGACACTGCAGAAATAATAACAGCAAAATCTAAAATGTCACGTGAGTTACGTCGCGTGAGTGACCGAGAAAAATCCTTCGCAAATAAAGGATATGTCAGATTTTGAAATTTTGAGAGTTCAATAAAAATGCTTGGTATCTCTTATTCATGTAAAGAATATTAAAAGTTCAAAATATTCACACAATTCGCAGAGTTTTCCCATTATTAGTAGTGATGTTTAAAGTCATGTATATTTGAAGTCGTTAAAAACTAGAGGCTCTCAAATTTTTTACCACTGATAGTACTCCTAAAGTTCTACAAAAAAGTATTAAGGGGGGATTGTAAAAAAAATTAATTGTTTTCGATTTATTTATGATTTAAAATTTGATTTTGCCTCTGAAAGTAGTGTAAGTGACTGCGCAAGTGCCCATATATTAAGATGAAATGTTGTTCATTTTGCCTTCATACAGTCGGCCCAAAACCTAAGCACCACCAGTACTTTTTTATTTCATAATGTTTTTATGTGGAATTTGTTTATAAGAATGCTATTAACTGGTTCGGTCATAACATAACAACACAACCCACAATAAGGAAGTGTTCACGCGCTGAATTCCTTACTGATTGCCATGGGATCAAAACCAGTTACAAAACAACACATAAGTGAACAACCAATGGATCTTAATGACTTCAAAAGTTTGGCTATTTCTGAGAGTTCCGTTGTTAGGGTACATGACATTAAAACTTTTCCATTTCGTATACGTGCATAAGAAATAGGACTGCGTGACCGCACACACACACACACATTTATTTGCGAAAACTTTGGAACTCACGTGATTGGCTAATCGACCGCTTTAACAAAGTGGTTATGTCTTTTTTGCAACCCCGTCTCCCAGTATCATTTTTGATGAGTTTCTACATAAAATTTGCCAAAATCTTAATGATTAGGACATTCAATAAAATCCCCACATAAAAAGTCATTTGAATTTCTATTTCCAATGTCTCATTTTATTCGTGAGTTCTGTGACTTTTCGTGGAAGTTAAAAATGTATACCTCTTTCGCTATATTTTTTACAATCACGTAATATTTTTTAGAATAAATAAATAGTACAATCCTTATTTTAGTCATTCATAGGCAAAAGTTCATTCATTATTAAGATTTGAGATCGGTTTTGGGGAAAACGAATTCAAAAGTCATAATGTACAATATGTGCGATAAAGCAAATTGAAATTGGGAAACCACATTGCAACATGAGAATTTCGTGGTTAGCGGACAAGCAATATAAAATTCCAATCGCAGGTTGAAAATTATAAATAAAATTATTAAAATTTTATGGTTACGCAATTAGGGTTTATGTTTTATATTGAACTCGCATATATTTGATTATTCTAAGTTCGAAATGAACGACTAAAGTTTCGTGACAAATCGGCGCAAGTTGTTATACCCTGAAACAGAAAATACACGACTATTTTCTATCCAAAGGAGAAATTCCAAAACTATGCTCTTAAGGGAAACCCCCCCCCCAATTCACGATTTTAGTTTTTCAAGATTTTCAATGGGCTAGTAAATCAATACCAATGCTTCTTAAGGTTTGTAACTTTGCACATATATATTTGAAGATTTAAAAGAGAAGAAAAAAAATTTACACAAAAATTTTGTAATTGTTTTGTTGTTGTTTTTTATAATTAAAAAGAAGTCGTTATTTTTGATGGCGGGCATAATAACGCCTCACTGGAACATCGGTATCCGAAAATCCCAACGGTGTTAGAAAGAGTATATGTCTGGATCTCGTATGAACTAGGATTATTGACTTCGCTCTAAAATTAACAAAATGGCGGACCTTTGAAAAAATATTTTTGGAAAATCGCCAATTTTTGGCCAAAAACCAAGTTAAAAAATAAGAAAGATCATCGAAAGATTGGCCTTATCCTAGATCATACGATAGCTATACACTCAAAGAGAAACGTGTACAAATTTGAAATCGATTGAGTTATTAGTTTTTGAGTTATCGTGCCCGCCATTCGCAAAAGAGAAAAACGCGTTCAAAGTTTGAAAAGCCCTTTAGCCTTCACTTGAAGTTGACACAATAAATCGGCTATATGTTCACGAATTCTTGAAATGTTCACTTGAAATTTTGTAGGGACATTCTTGAATTAGAGTAGATTAGAATTAAATCAAAAACAATTTTTGACCCCAAGAATGGGTGGGGTCCCCTTAAATAAGAAAATTGCTAATAGGTCCTTCTTTAACTCAATAAAAATTCGGTGATACCGTCATGTGTGTGCCTGATATATCACCAATCATATCAAACACACAACAACACCCGCAATATGGCAATGGAATTAAGTGTCTTGAAAATTGAAATTCGTATCTTCAGTTTGAAAGTTGGTTGCTTTAATGTGTACCTGAATGTCACAGAATCCTATTTCACATTCTCATTTCCACTGATATGAGATGCCATGAATGCTGAGCAGGTAATATAACTATGGGAAAATGCACCTGAACAAGCTGTAAACTTTGCTTGTTTACCTTTCGTCTATTTGCTGTTAACGCTCCCAGTTTATTTCTGTTTGCCAACAATTTAATGCTTTGCGATACACCAAAGTAAAGTCTCGATGGTGAGTTTTTTCCTGATAAATTATTCCGTTTGGATGGGGGAAGGGCAACTGCTTATCCACACAAATCGCAATCGCTTTTCTTCTGCAAACATTCAACATTTAATTTTAATTTTAATTTAATTTGGATACCTAAATTACACCGTGATTTGTGTAACTATCCATTTCAGAGTTCTGATATCTATTTCCTTTGAACGGTGACTAGGTCGACTACAGGTCTCTGATATCGCTACTTGTCAAGACTTAAGTAGTTGCTTGTTTCAAAATATCCCTAAATTGAAAATATGAAATGAAAACACTTTGAATGTCTGACAGAGCACTGTGCCACCCGAATAATTTATTGATATTTGTATTGGTATAATTTGCGTATAATTAATTTTGAGCGTTCAGTGAAATACTATGCTAATAAAGAGGATGCTGCTGCGGCTTCGCGTGGAGGGATGATGCCTAGAAGTGTGATTTACATAAAATTAATAAATGCTTGTGAAAAAGAACGATTAGTTGATTATTGGTTCTTTTCTGCCAACTTTTGCAGTAATGTAAGGAACGAGAAGGCCTGCGTTATTACCTGCAAAATGAAACGAAATTTGAATTTGAATCCACAGCCACAGAGGCACATGTTACCGAACGAAGTCTCTGCACATCCATACGATAAAATTTACCGGCTGTGACAGTTACAATTCGCTTGCTGTTGACTAGAAATATTAAAATATCCCGCTTGACGAGATGACCGTTGGACCACCACTGAGAACGCCAGAATGCTTCGCCAACACGAATGCTGTGGCTGCTGAGCAGTTCGCCGCAATATGTAAACATAAGCAGTTCCGGTAGGGTCAGCGCCAGGTACTGAACCAAGTTGATGATTCTCATGGTGGAACGTTCACCCTTAAATGATACCGCATTAAAACCAGCATACAAAAGCTTGGTCGCGAGGGTTTCTTACCGCCACACCCACAAATGCCAGTAGGCACAGCTGGAGAGTAATCTGAAGTGATTTGATAAGGCAATATGGACTGAACAGTTCCTCCAAAGTATCGCAACTCCTCAGAATAAATTGGTGCAAAAGAACGCACTCGACAAGAGAGCTATGTAGCGCATCCTTTAGGTTGGGTCGGCAATTCGGTTTCGATGCCTTAAGAGCTTTTAAATTCGTTAAATGTTCCTCCAGAAGGGCATACTGATTCAATTCGTTATCTTCGCGCCTTGGTAGGTCCCATTGCAGTTTGCTATTTCAAGTATTATATTGCATATTTTACATATTTCTTACATATATGAACTTAAGTTGTTGTTCGATATTATTGAATACAAAGGAAGAAAGTCGAATTCATTCTAAAATATATTCAAGTTCTTCGCCAACTTTAATTTACACTTTGTCTTACCGCAATTCATTGAGATCTTCCCCTGTTAACAGTTGTGCATTATAATCCACGTTCTTTAGGCTGCAATAGAGGACGTCGAATTGACCCAGCATTATTAAAACCACCGACACAAAAAGGGCTGAACCATTGCCAAAAATGCAACCCATTAGAATTTGACACCACAGTTGGGTGGCATACACGATTTCGTAAACTCTGGGCTTCTAAAAGGGGCAGCATCAAAACAACATGCAAATCGAAGGACAACTTGTAATACAAACCAAAGCATCGAAGGGATACCAACAACGAAGCGGCAGTGTGTGGGAGCGCAGCAAAAGAGGTGCTAATGCCCAACAAATTACTCCAACATTGCAAGCAATAAGCCAATACAAAGTCACTTTGTGGGCCAGACGAATCGAATAATGGGCGCTGACAAAAGTCAGGCCAGCCATCGAGTGATGCCGATAGTTGGTATTTATGTCGGCAATAAATCTCTTCAGCGTCCCAGACTTAAAAAACCAGTAACAGGTTGCGTAGGTCGAGAAGGAAAATATAATAACCATGGTCAATGCATCCGTAATCTCTTCTAGTTCACCATTTTGCAGCATATCAAATGTTGTCTTTACGTACAGGAGCGCCAAATGCAAATTTGAAACAACACAAAATATGCAGTAGCCCTTGGCCAAGGCGTTGGCGATGTTCTTCCAACTGGAGGGCAGGTGTCGGTCCAACTGCACTGGCACTTGACCCATAAACTTCATAAAAAATATTTGAAGCTCGAAAACATCCTTCTCTCGTTTGCTATCATGTTCCGAGTACAAAACATCCGAATCGCCAACGTAAACATTTGACGAAGGCATCATCTTTTTCCGATTCAGGTTGACTCACGTTTGAATTAATTGTTATCCAAGGACCATTTATATATGTTCGCATTGCGTCTGTGTCTTTGTGCATGTGGGTCGCCTGGTGAGCAATCAATTAGTAAACTTTACATACGATTCACTAACTCGGTTTAATATTTAATAGAATACTAAAGTGACCCTGTACGAACGGATTCATTAAGCCAGGTGTAGTGTTGTGGCACGTCTATAATTGTTTAATTGTCACACACTGGTACACTTGCCCACATCATCCACCAATCTTTAGAGGGAGAGAAAGAGAGAGTGGAAATGAATTGTTGGCCCAAAGTTTAATTGATAAAGGAAAAGTTTCGGTCAACACCCACTGCATCCTAAATCAGAAAGCGCAAATTTAATCATACACCACCCTAATTTACCAAACGAAAGCTAACAGCATTCAACCAATTCTCAGTGGAAATAGTTCCAAACAGGAATAACAAATTAAAAGTTGTTGATCATGTGGTGAAGAATAGGCTTAAATATTTGGTAGACTATGGGTGAGCCAATGTATAAACGGACCTATTTTATTAAGCTTTCCAACCTTTTGCAAAACATTGTTTTTCGGTTACACGGTAACTCTTAAAATATTTTGCAAAATAAAGCCAGATATGCCGCCCGATAATCCATTTCTTAATGAATTACAGAGCTAGCTTTGGGTGGGTACAAATATACCACGGCTATTGATCTACGCATACTTTTTGGTTATTGACCGTAGGGTTAATTAACAAAAATGTTCGGAAAATTAACGACAAATATAAAGTAGTTGCTATTTATTTTATTTAAACACGAAAGCTGTTTATCGATATTTGACGATAACGACAAAAATGTTACACAATCACAAAAGTGGCCATTTTGAGAAAAAAAAATTGTACTCAGGTGGTAGCTGTGCCGTACCATGTAATAATTATACCATGATTTATAAGTACGTATTTGCTATAAATTCTCATAAATAAAAAAAGATGATTTTGTGCGTGAAATTTTATATATAATAACCTAATCATTTGATTCTGTATAATTTAATTTAAAAACTAATCAAAATATGATACAGAATATTTCGGTTAATTGACCCTACGGTTAATTGGTTTCCCCGCTTAATTGAACCACATGATGGGGCAAAAAAAATATTGAATACGAAAACACATGTAAATTTCCTCGGATAATTAAGCCCTGTTTATTGATTTTCCCGTTTAATTGGTTCAAAATTCATGTCATCAAAAATAAACTTCCTCTTATTTTTCACCGGTTAATTGCATTATTATTGAAAAATAATCTGGCATTTTCATAGACCCATGGTTCCTTTTGAGAATTTGCAAAGAATCACTTTCTGAGTCGATTTATGCATGTTCGTCCGTCTGTTGAATTTAAATTGCAAAGAAAGTGCAGGTCGCATTTATAATCCGATTTAGATGCAATTTGGTACACCTAATTTATTCGGCCCAAGGACGAACCCTTTGAAATCGAGAAAAACGCTTCAAATTTAGATATAGCTCCCATATATATTTTCATCCGATTTGGTGTAAATGGTGCACCGAAGTCCCTATATATTTTTCGATTTTTACAAAATTTGGCATAGCATACTGAATTATGACTAGCATATTGTGTGCTCAATTTCGTGAAAATGGGTACAGATTTAGATATGGCTCCCATATATATTTCGTCCGATTTGATGTAAATGGTGCAGCAAAGCCACTATATATTTTTCGATTTGCACGAAATTTTGCATAGCGTTTTGATTTAAGTCTAGCATGACGCGTGTTATGTTTCGTGAAAACCGGTTCAGATTTAGATATATCACAGACTTGTGTACCATGTACTGAAGTTAACATAAATTAATTTCTGACAAGTTTCGTTGAAATTGCTTCAAAGTTAGATATAGCGCCCGTATATATTTTTGTCCGGTTGTAGGTAAATGGTGCACCGAAGTTCCAATTTGAAAATTAGCCTAGGTTGTAGAATGGCATACGTATAGATTGATGTTAGTCGGTTCACATAAATACAGATAGATAAAGATCACATATTAAAGTTGTGCAATTTCATGTCAATGTTCTTTCAAACTGCGACGTCTGTTAGGATGCATATGTAGAATACATCGAAGTGGTGAAGGGTATCATATAGTCGGCCCAGTCCGGCTTTATTACCTTTCTTACTGGTTTTACAAACATATTTGACATCATTTATGAAAAACATTAGGGTACATCTCTACTAATCGAAAACATATGTTTATCGCTAAGGAATTCCTTGCAGAGGATTTAGAAATACAAGAATAAATGTTTTAGTTTGAACTTTAAATGCAAGATTGTCATTATTTGTCAGTGAATTTTTGTTCTGGCAATTCTGGCAGTTTCTACTTATCAAATATCAACGAATGAAAGTTTCACAATTGAGAGCAACCGAAATGCCGGGTAATTTATGATGATAAAATAAATGTTGAATGAAAACAAAAAATTGAAAATAATGAACAGGGAAAAAATCGTGGTTTCGAAATGCAAAACCCAATCAAGTTGGTAAGAAGTCTAAAGTCGGTGACGGAAGTGGGCATCATAATGTGCCCAAGGACAAAAAAACGTTGGTCGGGTCAGCTGGTAATATATATTGACAGAAGATTCTCAAATTATATCATATTTAATCGATTGCGTATTTGTGAATGAATGAATATGTGAAGAAAACAATTGAACATACATGGATATTTGCCGACAAATTCCATGTATTTCGTAACTGTCATCCCTAGTTTTTAGTGGACAAAAGTTGTGCGAAACAAAGCCACGCAATAGTAGAGACTAAGAGCATTCCATTGTGTGTAGTGCGGTCGATTTGTTGTCAAAACTTGCCAATTTATCTACAAATTAAGTTAACTTGTTTGTGCCCAACACGGCCATTGTTGTTAACCTAGTAGACAGCCATTCTCAAACCGTATTTTTCGTGCACAACTTTATTTTATTTAGACTTCTCTCCTTGTTCGAAGTTACAAAGAAAGTTTTACCAAAATTATACTTTGTTGAGTAGCTTGACGTTGTTTTTTTTCAATCGTCACATTCCGTTATGCCCTTCATTCTTATTTGCTTACAGTTTGGAAAAGTAATGTTATAAATTGTGCAAGCATAATATGGAATTATTAAATTGATTATTGATTTGATTGTGAGTGGCTATGATTAACCCTGAACGATGACAATCCTCAACACAGTTAGTGTTTAGGCTAACGCTGAACACTTTTACAAAAAAAAATCCAGGTTCATCAAAGAAACGGAGAAGCATCATAAGAATTGTCAAAAATGACAGAAAACCAATTTCTAACTGAATATATATTTTTTTCTGCTAAGTCTATGTTTTCCTTTACCTTGGGTATAACGAACTAATTTCCTGGTCCCTGCGAGTTCGCTATAACCGTACTTGACTGTGCGTACATACAGTTGTGTACACTGTCGGCCAACACCGAAGCACCCCTTCAGTACATTTTATAAATGATGTTTTTTTGATTGACCTTTTAATTAAGAACTCTTCACGCTGCGATGTGTTATGTTCGTATGAAACAATTGGCCGATTTTCATACAGAAAAAGTGAGAAACTTTTCAAATGCATAAGGAGGAAATTGAAACCAATTTCGATTAATATATGATTATTATAGGTTTTGGAACAGAGAACGCATCTGGTGGCATGTACAGACGGGCGTTGTTCGACCTTGAATTATGAAATAATTACATTGTTTCCCATTTGATCGAACAATGACTTTTGTACATTGTTCAACTCGAACCAATCCCTAAACTACAAGGGAGTTGGTCGCTAATAATTGAGAGAATTTATCGAAAAATAATGAATGAAAAGTAAAAAAATCTGAACGGATTTAGAAATAAAAAATTAAAACCATGAATGAGGAGTAATTAACAATAGGTTCTATCTGTAATCAGGAGAAAGAGCAAACAATGCGTTTCTTAAATCCCAAACTGAATTTATCGTCATTTAAAATTGGTTGTTTGTCACAGAATAAAACAATTGTTAAGCCTTTACGAAAACCACTATTCAGCACTAAATAAACTTTGAATTTCAATTGTTCAGAAAGTCTGTATTTCTCGAATGCCAGGATATAGTGTAGTGTTCATATCCGAACTAATTCGGGGCTCAAAGGGTTAATACACCTAACGTCGTACCTACATGCACTAACATACACATATGTATGTTTTTTGTGTTTAACAATTCAATTGCCAATTGTCAATATATTTGACATAGTGGACTGCAGCAGTCCACTAACAAAAGCTCTTAATCATAAATTGAACCTCGAGCATTTGACAAATGGACTTACGTCAGATTGTCAAATGCTTACAAATTGCTTTATTAATCTTGCCTTTGGCTAATTTTCTTGACTTTGTGAGCAATTGTGCGTACGTGAGAACTCATGGTATGGACGGAATATGGTATGTATAGGGTGTCCAACTGCATTTTAATTGAAAGCTTGTACAATTCGAATGTATATTTTCCTTGCTCACATGGAAGACGGGGAATGTTTATCCAATTTTTAGATAATACTCAACATTTGAAGACGGAATGACCAATTGCTGAACACACTAACCATTATTTACTTTATTTACTAGCATTTAGACACCCTATTATTTCCACTTTCCAGATACAAAAGCAATCTGTTTCCAAACCATTATCTACTTTATTTACAAGCATTTATACACCCTATTATTTCCAGTTTCCAGATATAAAAGCAATCTGTTCATTGAGCGCCTTAAGCAGTTCGAGTTTAGATTTTGCTTTGCCATTAACAGTTGTCGGCGATGCTGATAAGTACAGAAGTGTTGCTAACATCAATATTCTTGCTATGGATATATGTCTTGTGGTCCCGCCGAAAATTCTACAAGGTATTTCTTCAACTACGCGGTCCTTTGGGGTTGCCATTTGTGGGCGTGGCATTCAAAATGATGAAACCAGAAAGTCGGTGACAACTATTGACAATTACAATCTGCTTTAACTCACTTGTTTCCATGTCTTATTCCATTAGACTTTTTACAGAATATGGAGAACATGTCAAAACAGTACAACAGCCCTTTCATTTCTTGGATGGGTACTCAATGTTTTCTCTACGTCAATGATCCGGAAACAATGGAAACTATTTTCAATTCACCATGCTGCACAAACAAAGGCGACGTGTATAGATTTATGGCCAATGCCATAGGGGATGGTCTATTCACATCGAGCTGTAAGTTGACTGTAGCTAAGAACACACAAGAGACTGTGTTACCAATCTACAACACATCCCCTACGCCATTCGCCATCGGAATTTAATTGCAATTGTTTCATTTGCCCAAACTTATAGCCCCACGGTGGAATAAACACAGACGTCTTCTGAATCCTGCCTTCGGCCGCAAGGCCGTTCAAGCCTTCCTGCCCGTTTTCAATAGAGAAGCAAATACCCTTGTCCAAACACTGACCGTGTCTCTGGGTCAAAAGCTAGAGATTTATGGACTGTTGAAGAAAATTGTCCTGGATTTAGCATGTCGTAAGTACAAATACACGGCCATACCACCCATCTCAGCCACCCACTTCTATCTTTCAATTGAACGAAAATATTGATTGTTTGTAATCTATTAACTTTGGCCTAACGGTATTGTTTGATTCATTCATAAAAGTAATTTGTAACGTCTTGGGTGATTTCATTATTCCGGCTTATTGTTTACTTCTCGTTTTTGACATAACCGAATTCCTCCCATCCCGAATAAAAAAATCATTTATGCCGCAACAATGATGCTCTTTTTGGCTAAGAAACAACAATGGGACAAAAGACGAATATCCCAAACGATAGTTCAGATGCAGTATTCCAAGCATACAATGGGTAAGTTACTATGAACGATAACACCACCTCGTGTTTAAGGTGTATTCTATTATTTTATATTACTTGCCCATTGCATAGGGATATATGTAACTAGTCATACAAAATAGACTGCTGGATTCATTTGCCAACTGAAAAAGTTGTCTAGGTACATCATACCAACTCAGTAGTTACTGGTAAGCAATAGGTAATGAATCGACTATTTTATATTTAATGTTGTTCTCTTCGATATACATTATCAATGGAAAAACAGAAAGATTGCTTTGTCATTCGACTTTGATTTTTGTGCAATTTTGGGAGCAAAACTCGATTAGAAATTTCTTTCCCTAAAAATATATTCGTGAAATATTAAAATATGTGCTGTAGAACCTGATCATGATAAGTTCTGATATTGTAACATAATAAAGACAAATGTAATTCTTCTGCAGGCTTCATTTCCAGACAGAGAGAACACAACAAATATAGAGACGATGCAGGAAGAGATATCGCAACACATCAATAAATTATAAGAGGTATTCTACCGATTTCATATAGGCAACAAAGAAGACTTTATGTAGGACTTTTAACATTAGTTATTTCTGAATAGTCTATTCGAACTAAATTATTCGTGCACAATACTATAACTTTTTTAACAGACAGATAAACGGACATGTCTGTCCATCCGTGAATAGACACAGACCTACAGAATCTACATATAAAATTTGATACAAATTAGTCAAACTGTTTAGGAGGGGCATTTATACGAACGCTGTGCCAAGAGAATTTTATATAAAAAATATAACATAGACTATATGGTACATAAGGTATATAAGTACGAATCCTCGTGTCCCTTATACATCGTGTAGCTCGCGTTCCTTATCCACGCGATCCTTCCACATAATTATGTATCGATCGATGATAAAAATAAATATTTATAGCGATATTGGACGCCATTTGAATTGTATTATTTTATATTTTCTTGACTTTTTAGCATTACGGAAGCGTGTGTGACGCGGATGTTATCTCCCTGGTTGTATTCGGATTCAGTTTATCAATTTTCAACTTTATACAAAAGGCAGCAGCAGTTCAGCACATTCCTACAAGACTTTGTGGAGCAAGTAAGAGAGTACATATGATATACGTTATTTGTATCTTACTGCAATAGTTGTTTACCAAAAAATCTCCCTTTCCGAACAGTTCCTTCCGTTCGAAGGTAATATATCTACACAACGGTTTCTGGGCCGTATGTTTGAAATAGCCGATGAAGATGATGATATTCAAAAATCAAAACCTCACAATTTTTTATGCAAAATCCGAGAGCACATTTCAACGGGACAATTGACATATCAAGACGCAAGAGACGAAGCAAATGTTATTGTGGCAGCGGTTAGTAAAATGCTCCAGACCTAATTAACATATAGTAATTTGTATTTTTATAACTTAGACGTTCGAGACTACAGCAACTGCTCTTTATTTTGTCTGCTTGTGTCTAGCTATTCATCCCGATTGTCAGGATAAATTATATAACGAATTAGTGGAAATTTTCCCAAAATTATCCAATGGTGGTGATGCCAACATAACATTTGAGCAACTGGAACGCATGTCATACACCGAAATGGTGATAAATGAGTCAATGCGACTCTTTTCCCCCGTCCCAATGGTACTGCGACGTGTTTCCGAAGATTTCTACTTACGAAATGGGTCGGGCCATGCTATTCTATTGCCAAAAGGTATCCAGGTTGCGCTGGATATTTTTAATATGCATCGCAATGAAGTATTTTGGGGCCCTCATGCTCGTTCATTCGCGCCCGAGCTGCATTTTGGACCCACAGCAGAGAGGCATTCGTTTGCGTTTGTGCCCTTCACCAAAGGACTTCGCATGTGCATTGGTTACCGGTATGCCCTGATGCTGATGAAGGTAATGTTGGCACATCTATTCCGCAACTTTCGAATACACACGGAAGTAAAGCTGAAGGATTTGAATATAAAGGGCACGATATCGTTAAAGCTAAGTGATTACCCATTGTGTACAATAAAAGCAAGAAGTGAAAACGTATCTTCTATATAATATAGCAATGCGATGTGAAACTACATAATTGAGGCAATTAAAATTACCTGATGTAAATCATGACTAAATAAAAACATCACAACAGTAGTGCGATGGAGGAAATTAAATAAAAAAAATCACTTTTAAACCTGCTACTATATTAGAAAAAATCACATATGATATGTTTGGGTCATATTTTGACCCCCCACCTTTTTATAGGTGAAATTTTAATATGCACTTTTTTAAAATGTGCAGTGAGTAGTTAGAACGTTCAATATATTCCACCAGTAAGAAATAGTGTGATGATAAAAATCGATGCGTCACCAAATTACCCTTAAGGTAGTAACAGGGCTAACTCATTTGGCGCCACCGTCCTTTTAAAATAACGCCAAAAATAACAATAATAATAACAAAAATAATAAAACAAACGTTGGCGTTATCTGGGTTAATATTTATTTATTCCTTTATCAGATCAAAGCGTTTTGTTGGTTGTTGTGTTCGGGAACAACCTTAGTGGTTGTGTTCTTTTGTGCAACAAAATAAACCATATATTCAAATATAAATGTTTGTCACATATTAATTGATTTGAACTTTTTCCATTACCATTATCCGATGAACTGTGATAGTTTTCCAAGTTGCCTTATCGGCACTTTAAAGCATAAGTACTACCAAAACTTGGTCAAACGGAATGTGATAGACCTATTTCGTAAACGGATGGTGACTGGATATAAGAAATGGATCACATACGACAACCATGCGCGAAAACGATCGTGGTCAAAGCAGGACTAACGGCCAGGAACGTTCTGCTATGCGTTTGGGATTGGAAGGGGATTATTTATTATGAGTTGCTTCCATATGGCCCAACGCTAAATTCTGATCTCTACTGTCAACAACTGGAATGTTTGAGGAAAACAATTGACCAGAAACAGTCAGAATTGGCCAACAGGAGAGCTGTCGTGTTCCACCAGGACAAGGCTAGGCCAAACACATCTACAGTGACTCGCCAGAAACTTCGGGAGCTTGGTTGGGAAGGTTTAATGCATCCGCCATACAGTCCGGACATGGCACCAAGCGATTCCCATTTTTCTTGCATTGCAACATTTCTTTAATGATAAAAAATTGGTATATAGGAAGGATTGTGAAAATCGACTACTAGAGTTTTTTTGCAAATAGAGAGCAGGACTTCTATAAGAGAGACATTATGAAGTTATCTTTAAAACGGCAATACATTTTACGACAAAACGGTGCATATTTGACCCAAATCGGACAGCATGTTAAATAAAGTCCGTTTTTTAGTCAATTGTCTAAAAAACTGATGTTCCTACTAATAAGCATTTGAGGTTAGATCCGTAAACTAATGCAAAATGAGGTTAGAGCAAAAAACTCTGGTATGATTTTGGCTAATATTTATACCAATTATTTGCATATATAATATATGTAATAATTTAAGCGTAAATGTATTCACGTATTTGAGGATTTCGGTACGTACAAGATCTTGGCCCAATTTTCGAATAACCTGTATTTTTGATATTTCATTTTCGTGACAGTTATTTACCATGTATTAACGCCCATAAAAAATCCCGACCGATTTTATAAATCTGACTGTTCACCTCACGGTGGTGAGTATAAAAAATTTAGCCCTGTCGAACTTAACGACGTTTCATTTATTTTTATTCATATTTTTGAATAAATTATAATTTCAAAACAATATTTACTCTTCTAAATAATATTAGCATGTAAAAAACATTTATTGCAAAAATTAAGAAATGTAACAGAAAACAGAAAAAGTTCTAAATCCCAAAAAACCGGGTATGTATCTCCGCAAGTAATTAATTTTTTTTATTTTGCATTTGCACATATAATACAAAAACAAATTGCATTTACAGATTTGAAAAATCTTTACTCAAAAGAGAGTTTGATGGGTTTTTGTCTCTCCTGGAAATATGTGAAATTGGGACTTATTGCTTTTAAAAGTTAAGGCAGCGGTATATTATTTTTATAAATTGTTTTAGGTATTACCAACTAGATAAATAACCGTGTACATTTGTGCCCATCCACAGTTAGCGCTGTAAATCATTCAAAAGTAGGACTATATTTGTCTATATAGAGGTTAAAACTCATAGTCATATCAAGAAGTAATTTTGAGGATTGTGATCCAAGACACACGTCCAAAATCGTGAGAATGGCCAACATAAGTATTGATATCCATCCGAATAATAATTTGTGGTCAAACGAGCTTTGGCAGTGTATCTGCCTGCCATGATTGGAAAAATATTCCAAATGATATTGCACTGAAATTAGTTAGAAATATGCCAAAGTGCATAAAAGTGAGTGCATTGGAGTTTATTTTTTCTTAGAAATTGATTTATTAAGTTTAGGATATTTTTTTGTATTTTAACAATCATTTTTATGACGTAAAAACTGCTCAAAGTACAAACATCCACTCGCTTCTCCACTGTATATTAGTACTACTCCTAGGATACAGGTTGCAAAGCAAATGGGATTTATCGGTGTGCATTTGGACACGTTTTCAACTGAATTGGCTTCAGTTTGTGTGCTCACTTCATAGGGTAGCCTCCATATAACGATGGTCAGTATTTTTGGCAGTGGTCGGTAAATTAAGCATTTTATCCAATACTTGGTTTAATAACTCATATATCAAAGATGCAAAACCACTCATTCCTAGGACAAATTATGACAGTCGATATCGAGTGAGTTTTTATTTGACAATAAATTTCGATACGATCATACCCACTGTATGACACCATCGATCGGATTTGTTCATGAAAATTTATAAATTTTTGCTGTTATAAGGTAGACACAAAAGCAAAGATATATTGTGTAAAATATGTCAAAAACCGGGACATTTTTTATATAGCTTTTTGGTTGCTGTTGAGCCACTTTTTTGAAATATACCCACAATGATACATTTAGGGTCCAAATTTGGCTGGCGTATCCAGTCTATCGAATTTTCCATGACGAATATTAACACCACACTCTTCATAGAGGTCCCTCGCAACCGTTATGCCAAACCCTCATATTTCTTTTTTTGTTATTTGAAAAAAATTAGTTATTTTATTCCTTCAGATATGCTACCTAAAATTGTTTATCGTTAACAATATATTTTACCCTAATACATACATTAAAATACCTAAATATGCATTGTTTGTTACAATAAGTCTTTCAATATTTAAAATCCATATAATTTACCCTATTAATCCCAAAAAGGAATGACGTCCATTTTTGATCAAATTACATTGGTTTGGGCAACTCTACAATTATTTTCTCTTCAGTTGTTTTGTGTTTTCATTGAAGCCGGGCGCGATTGGTTTGTCGGGAGTTTCACGAGTCCAGTTTTCTTTAATTTCGGTAATTGTTTAATGATCCATCATCCCATGCTGTGAATCCGATATTGTTATTAAAAGTGTTAATTCTACCGCGTCTTGAATAGTTATTTGTATAGTTTTTATTTGCTTGTTGCCCGCCATGTTCTGGTCATTTGTCATTATAAATGATTAAATTCCTCCTTGCAAGTAAATCAAAGTTATTGGCAAAGTGAAAAGTGTTTGATTGAATTTGTCAAATTATTGAAAACTAGCATATAACCGCTACTTCGTTAGCGAATGTGGGATGTATTTAAAACCCTATATCGACCATTATTAAAATTTAAGAACCATTTTGTACGTATGTTCTGCCATAGTATGTTTTCAAATCTACCTCTCTATATCAACCCTACACGCCCATTCCGACCGCAACAGAAATATACCTCTATAATAAATTTGGTGTAATTTTTTACCATTTGTACTCTTGTAATACTTATTTTGGAAAAAAAATCTAATATAGCTTCACCCAAATCCAAATTGAGTATCAGTTAGTGCACATTAATATAACTCCTGCTTTAGCAATCATAAGTACGAATTTCCAACACTTCCCACATACCCCAATCTTAATTCCAAATTTCAGGATTCTATCGGTTCACCTAAATCCAATTTGTATCACATTTAGTACCACTTAGAACACATAAGTAAAAAATTTCCATTACTACCTACATCATGCAATCCAATCCAACTCTATCGCTTCACCCATAGTTTAAATTGTACCAAATTTAGTACACAGTAGTACGATTTTCAAAAAACCTCATTCTTAGCCCAAACCAACACCCCCACAGTGTTCCTAAATCCAAGTTTCAGGATTCCAACTTTATCGGTTGACCCACAATTCAAATTGTACCAAATTTAGTACACAGTAGTACGAATTTCCAAAACTTCCTACTTAACCCAAACCTTCACCCCCAGAGTGATACTAAATCCAAGTTTCAGGATTCCAACTCTATCGGTTCACCCAGAATTTAAATTGTACCAAATTTAGTACACAGTAGTACGAATTTCTAAAACATTATACACACCCCAATCATACCCCCCACACTGGGCGGTATATCGGTTCACCCACAATTCAAATTGTACTAAATTTAGTACATAGTAGTACCAATTTCCAAATCTTCCTACATACCCTAATTCTACACCTCCACGGTGATCCTAAATCAAAATTTCAGGATTCCAACTCTATCGGTTAACCAACAATTCAAATTGTACCGAATTTAGTACACAGTAGTAACAATTTCCAAAAAATCCTACATACCCCAATCCTAAACCTCCACAGTGTTCCTAAATCAAAATTTCAGGATTTCAACTCTATCAGTTCACCCACAATTGAAATTGTACCAAATTTTGTATACATTAGTACCAATTTCCAAATCTTCCTACATACCGCAACCCTACACCCCATAGTGATCCTAAATCAAAATTTCATGATTTCAAATTTATTGGTTCACCCACAATTTAAATTGTACCAAATTTAGTACACATTAGTACAATTTTCTAAAACTTCCTACATATTTCAATTTTACACCTCAACAGTGATCCTGACTCCAAATTCCATGATTCTATCTCTGTCGGTTCACCTAAAATTCAAATTGTACCAAATTTAGTACCATTTAGTACCCATAAATATTATTTTCTTAA